CTTACTAACCACTGCCGCTCCTATATTCATCATTCCATTTGTCTTGTCTTGTCATTACACACACCTGGTTCTTATCCCCTCGTTAGTCATTTACATTTACATTTTAGTCATTTAGCAGACGCTCTTATCCAGAGCGACTTACAGGAGCAATTAGGGTTAAGTGCCTTGCTCAAGGGCACATTTACGTCATTTAGCAGACGCTCATATCCAGAGCGACTCACAAATTGGTGCGTTCACCCTATAGCCAGTGGGATAACCACTTTACAATTTTTTTTTTGGGGGGGGGGGGGTAGAAGGATTACTTTATCCTATCCCAGGTATTCCTTAAAGAGGTGGGGTTTCAAATGTTTTCGGAAGGTGGTGAGTGACTCCGCTGTCCTGGCGTCGTGAGGGAGCTTGTTCCACCATTGGGGTGCCAGAGCAGCGAACAGTTTTGACTGGGCTGAGCGGGAACTATGCTTCCGCAGAGGAAGGGGAGCCAGCAGGCCAGAGGTGGATGAACGCAATGCCCTCGTTTGGGTGTAGGGACTGATCAGAGCCCGAAGGTACAGAGGTGCCGTTCCCCTCACTGCTCCATAGGCAAGCACCATGGTCTTGTAGCGGATGCGAGCTTCAACTGGAAGCCAGTGGAGTGTGCGGAGGAGGGGGGGTGACGTGAGAGAACTTGGGAAGGTTGAACACCAGACGGGCTGCGGCATTCTGGATGAGTTGTAGGGGTTTAATGGCACAGGCAGGGAGGCCAGCCAACAGCGAGTTGCAGTAGTCCAGACGGGAGATGACAAGTGCCTGGATTAGGACCTGTGCCGCTTCCTGTGTAAGGCAGGGTCGTACTCTCCGAATGTTGTAGAGCATGAACCTGCAGGAGCGGGTCACCGCCTTGATGTTGGCGGAGAACGACAGGGTGTTGTCCAGGGTCACGCCAAGGCTCTTCGCACTCTGGGAGGAGGACACAGCGGAGTTGTCAACCGTGATGGCGAGATCATGGAACGGGCAGTCCTTCCCCGGGAGGAAGAGCAGCTCCGTCTTGCCAGGGTTCAGCTTGAGGTGGTGATCCGTCATCCATACTGATATGTCTGCCAGACATGCAGAGATGCGATTCGCCACCTGGTTATCAGAAGGGGGAAAGGAGAAGATTAGTTGTGTATCGTCAGCGTAGCAATGATAGGAGAGGCCATGTGAGGATATGACAGAGCCAAGTGACTTGGTGTATAGGGAGAAAAGGAGAGGGCCTAGAACTGAGCCCTGGGGGACACCAGTGGTGAGAGCACGTGGTGCGGAGACAGCTTCTCGCCACGCCACTTGGTAGGAGCGACCGGTCAGGTAGGACGCAATCCAGGAGTGAGCCGCGCCGGAGATGCCCAGCTCGGAGAGGGTGGAGAGGAGGATCTGATGGTTCACAGTATCAAAGGCAGCAGACAGGTCTAGAAGGACAAGAGCAGAGGAGAGAGAGTTAGCTTTAGCAGTGCGGAGAGCCTCCGTGACACAGAGAAGAGCAGTCTCAGTTGAATGACCAGTCCTGAAACCTGACTGGTTTGGATCAAGAAGGTCATTCTGAGAGAGATAGCAAGAGAGTTGGCTAAAGACGGCACGCTCAATAGTTTTGGAAAGAAAAGAAAGAAGGGATACTGGTCTGTAGTTGTTGACATCAGTGGGATCGAGTGTTGGTTTTTTGAGAAGGGGAGCAACTCTCGCTCTCTTGAAGACGGAAGGGACATGGCCAGCGGTCAAGGATGAGTTGATCAGCGAGGTGAGGTAGGGGAGAAGGTCACCGGAGATGGTCTGGAGAAGAGAGGAGGGGATGGGGTCAAGCGGGCAGGTTGTTGGGGCGGCCTGCAGTCACAAGTCGCAGGATTTTATCTGGAGAGAGAGGGGAGAAAGAAGTCAAAGCATAGGGTAGGGCAGTGTGAGTAGGACCAGCAGTGTCATTAGACTTAACAAACGAGGATCGAATGTCGTCAACCTTCTTTTCAAAGTGGTTGACGAAGTCATCCACAGAGAGAGAGGAGGGGGGGGGGGGGAGGGGGGGGATTCAGCAGGGAGGAAAATTTGGCAAAGAGCTTCCTAGGGTTAGAGGCAGATGCTTGGAATTTAGAGTGGTAGAAAGTGGCCTTAGCAGCAGAAAACAGATGAAGAAAATGTAGAGAGGAGGGAGTGAAAAGATGCCAGGTCGGCAGGGAGTTTAGTTTTCTTCCATTTCCGCTCCGCTGCCCGGAGCTCTGTTCTGTGAGCTCGCAATGAGTCATCAAGCCACGGAGCTGGAGGGGAGGACCGAGCCGGCCGGGAGGATAGGGGACACAGAGAGTCAAAGGATGCAGAAAGGGAGGAGAGGAGGGTTGAGGAGGCAGAATCAGGAGATTGGAGGGAGAAGGATTGAGCAGAGGGAAGAGATGATAGGATGGAAGAGGAGAGAGTAGTGGGAGAGAGAGAGCGAAGGTTGCGGCGGCGCATTACCATCTGTGTAGGGGCAGAGTGAGTAGTGTGGGAGGAGAGCGAGAGAGAAAAGGAAACAAAGTAGTGGTCGGAGACATGGAGGGGAGTTGCAGTGAGATTAGTAGAAGAGCAGCATCTAGTAAAGATGAGGTCAAGCGTATTGCCTGCCTTGTGAGTAGGGGGGGACGGTGAGAGGGTGAGGTCAAAAGAGGAGAGGAGTGGAAAGAAGGAGGCAGAGAGAAATGAGTCAAATGTGGACATAGGGAGGTTGAAATCCCCCAAAACTGTGAGGGGTGAGCCATCCTCAGGAAAGGAACTTATCAAGGCGTCAAGCTCATTGATGAACTCTCCAAGGGAACCTGGAGGGCGATAGATGACAAGGATATTAAGCTTAAATGGGCTAGTGACTGTGACAGCATGGAATTCAAATGAGGAGATAGACAGATGGGTTAGGGGAAAAATTGAGAATGTCCACATGGGAGAGATGAGGATTCCTGTGCCACCACCCCTCTGACCAGATGCTCTCGGGGTATGCGAGAACACATGGTCAGACGAGGAGAGAGCAGTAGGAGTAGCAGTGTTTTCAGTGGTAGTGGTAGTCCATGTATAAGTGTTCCCTCTGGCCCCTTGTCCTTGTGGGTGATTGTTTAATTGTGAGATTAGTGTAGCTCGAGGTGAGTAATTGCTGTTCTGATATCCAGAAGCTCTTTTCGGTCATAAGAGACGGTCAGAAACATTATGTACAAAATAAGATACAAACAACGCAAAAAAACACACAAAATAGCACAATTGGTTAGGAGCCCATAAAACGGCAGCCATCTCCTCCGGCGCCATTCAATAATCAAATTCAAGAAAGCGTACAGTATTATATAGAACTCCCTCCCATCTCATATTGCTCAAATGCACAGCAAATCTGGTTTAAAAAAACTGATAAAGCAACACCTCACGGCACTATGCCTCTCCCCTGTTTGACATAGATAATCTGCGTGTATTTCTTTTATTTTTATTTAACTAGGCAAGTCAGTTAAGAACAAATTCTTATTTACAATGACGGCCTACACCCGCCAAACGCTGGGCCAATTGTGCGCCGCCCTATGGGACTCCCAATCACGGCCGGTTATGATACAGCCTGGAATCGAACTAGCAGGTCTGTAGTGACGCCTCAAGCACTGAGATGCAGTGCCTTAGACCGCAGCGCCACTCAGGAGCATGTGTGTATTGATATGTAGGCTATTTGTGCCATTTTCTATTGTTTAAATGTTTTTATTTACGTAGTTCTGTCCTTGAGCAGTTCTTGTCTATTAATGTTCTGTATTATGTCATGTTTCATGTTTTGTCTGGAACCCAGGAAGAGTAGCTGCTGCTTTTGCAACTGCTAATGGGGATCCTAATAAAATACCAAAATACCAAATGAAACAATTGATATTTGTATTTACAATCCCCTTCTCCAAACGGATTACTCATTTATCTAGCTCTTATCAATTTATAAATTACAGTTGAGAATGGTGTTATTTCTATCGGGAAAAAAGAGAGTAGATATTCTTTCACTTGGAACCGACAGGTTCGCTCGACCTTATTCATGGTTTCCTTGTGCGTAAAGGTGGTGGAATTCTGAGGGAATTAAATCTTGGTCAGAATACAGTGTATCTCAAAGGTCAAATAGGGGTTGCTTATATTTGTCCTGTTTCACTGCATGTATAAGTGGCTAACTTGTATAAGTGGCTAACTTGTGTGAGGTGTGAAATGGAAATGTGCTTTTCTGCATATCCCAACTGCCCCTGAGACACCCTCTGAGAGTGGGGTCACTGTCAGGGATCAGCCATTATTGACGGTATCTCTGCCACACCTCTATTTCTATGTGATCTCCACCCCAAACGAATACCTGGCTGGCACATGCGTTTCCCCATGCTTAAGTTCAAGGTCAGAATACGGGTAAAGAGAAAAGTGCATAAAAAGGGAATTAACTTCCATTTACGCGTGCATAACTTTGAATCCCCCCCTACATGAATTCACTGAACTGAAACTGAATCGACTCTATGGGACCAGGGGAAAAGGGAGGTAAGGCCTGATGCCTTTTCTGTCTCTTCAGTATAAAGCAAATTATTTGTTTTCTGATATTAGGTTAGGTTATTTATTACTTGCCTTATTCAAAACAACAGAACATGTTGGCATTGCTGGCAGTAGCACATTACTCTCCTACTTCTAAGCCTACTGCTTTAAATGTTGACACGCAGCAGATAAGGACCTCTAAAAAGGTTTCTCTTGATAGCAACCTCAAATAAGGCTGTCACCACAACCTTTTATTTAAAAATATACCCTGCCACTCCACCACGAAATAGATGAAGTCATGGCATGATTGTTAAAGGGAAGGTTCATCCAAATCACATATTGGTTCAAGACTATGGTGTAATGTATGGTCAATGTGTGCTTTAAGAACTGTAGTATTTTTGGTAATGGCAAAGCAACAGATGTGGTTAGTTTTGACTGTAATGATTTTCCAGGAGGATATTTCCTGCTTGATGACAACGTTTCAGACACAGAAGCGGAAGCTGGAGGAGCAGATTTGTAAAATGGCTTACAACAAATCCTGCATCACTGTGAGTGACAGTTCTCTGACAAATGTTTAATGATTCCAATTGAAATACCAGTCTGTAATGCTACGGTGCTTATAGCAATATTTTCATGATGAAACAATATGCCACACATGGTCAAAAAGCCATTGAACAGAATCAGCTGCACAGAATCAGTGGCTGTCTTTACTCGCATATCTATGTACAGAAACGCTAAATAAACCTGAACTTGAAGATATACTGTACACGTCTGATCATGCCCCTGCTCCCTGTGTTGTCAGAATGAGTCGGACGTGTTGAAGTGGGTGGTGCATAAGGAGTTTGGCGAGCTACGACGCTGCCTGGAGCTGGAAGAGGCGAGCTTCATACAGTGTGTGGAGAGCACGGCCGCGGGCTTTTTCTCCTCCATCCAGAGGCAGACCGATGACCTTACACACACGCTGGCAAAGTTCAAGGAGGCCGAGGGCACGCTGGAGGCCCTGAGCAACGACAGCCACCTGGGTTTCATCACGGTGGGTGCTGTTGTTAGCCATGTCACTATTTAGAACCAGGGTTCTCTGACTGGTCCTGGAGAGCTAGTAGTGTGTGCAGGCTTTTGTTCTTGCCCTACACACCCCTGATTAAGCCAGTCAAGGTCCAGAGGAGCAGCTGATCAGTAGATGCAGGTGTGTTAGAGCAGGGCTGGAACAAAATACTGCAGGAGGGTAGCTACCCAGGAGGATGGTTGGCCACACCATATTAACACCTTCTGTAAGGCTATTAATTAGTTAGCTACCGCCCTCAGGGCGAAGGTACAGAATACTCCACAAACTGGGGCCGTAAGTCATTGGTTCTACTCAGTGCTTCTTCGCTACTTGCAGCTCAGTGACATTTTCAGAGTTTGGGCCAAAAACATGTAAGAGGTTATTAAGGAAGATGATGATTTCATCAGCTTTTTACATTGCTTTTCCTTTGCAGAAATATGGATATATTGCTCCAAGGTAAGAATGTCCAGGTTCTTCTGTTGGGATTTTCAAAACTGAAATTAAATGTACATTGCAGGAACTTTGCTGCAAGAAGCAAATATCTCTATCTGCTTCATATCTCACACCGTATTAAATGTTTTAAATTGAAGTTCAGTTGGTACCTCCATATTTCATACAGTTTTCCTTTGTTTTGTGCCTACTGAACATGACCCTGATCTTTGGTCCAGATTTCGAGAGTGTCAGCAGATACAGCAGAGAGAGGAGAAAACATACAGCTCCATTAACTTCAAACCAGGCTTCAATCACAACGATATCAAGATCTCTGTGTGGAAACGTTTACACAGGAAGGTCCTTCCAGGTAAGAAGACATAGAGACATACCCTGTTCCAATCAATGAAGTCAGTGGTTCTGTTTTACCATCACTGTTGGTTCCTCCGTTCTTACTGCTATCACATGAAGGTACAGGTGAAAGCAGTGTTTCACCACATAGATGTAACTTTTTTTTAGACGTGTTCTTTTTTATTTTTATATTGGGGTATTTTAATTTGATTGCGACAGAGATAGGTGGAAATGGGCAGGGAGACAGAAGCAGTGGAGCCGGGATTCGTACCCACGCTGGGTTACCACCCAGTGCTTTCAGAAAGTATTCACACCCCTTTTGTTGTGTTACAGCCTGAATTTAAAATGGATTACATTTGGATTTTTTTGTCACTGGCCTACACACAATACCCCATAATGTCAAAGTGGAATTATGTTTTTCGAAATTTCTACAAATTAATAAAAAATGAAAAGCTGAAATGTCTTGAGTCAATAAGTATTCAACCCCTTTGTTATGGCAAGCCTAAATAAGTTCAGGAGTAAAAATGTGCTTAACAAGTCACATAATAAGTTGCATGGACTCTGTGTGCAATAATAGTGTTTATCATGATTTTTGAATGACTACCTCATCTCTGTGCTGCACACATACCATTATCTGTAAGGTCCCTCAGTCGAGCAATGAATTTGAAACACAGATTCAACCACAAAGACCAGGGAGGTTTTCCAGTGCCTCACAAAGAAGGGCACGTATTAGTAGATGGGTAAAAAATAAAAATAAAAAACAGACATTGAACATCCCTTTGAGCAGGGTGAAGTTATTCATTACAATTTGGATGGTTAATCAATACACCTAGTTACTACAAATATACAGGCGTCCTTCCTAACTCAGTTGCCGGAGAGGAAGGAAACCACTTAGGGATTTCACCATGAGGCCAATGGTGTCTTTAAAACAGTTACAGAGTTGAATGGCTGTGATAGGAGAAAACTGAGGATGGATCAACAACATTGTAGTTACTCCACAATACTAACCTAATTGACAGAGTGAAAAGAAGGAAGCCTGTACAGAATACAAATATTCCAAAACATGCATCCAGTTTGCAACAAGGCACTAAAGTACTACTGCAAAATATATGGCAAAGCAATTAACTTTTTGTCCTGAATACAAAGTGTTAGGTTTGGGGCAAATCCAATACAACACATTACTGAGTACCACTATCCATATTTTCAAGCATAATGGTGGCTTCATCATATTATGGGTATGCTTGTAATCGTTAAGGACTGGGGAGTTTTTCAGGATAAAAAAGAAACTGAATGGAGCTAAGCACAGGTAAAATCTTAGAGGAAAACTTGATTCAGTCTGCTTTCCACCAGACACTGGGAGATGAATTCACATTTCAGCAGGACAATAACCTAAAACTCAAGGCCAGATCTACACTGGACTTTCTTACCCAGAAGACAGTGAATGTTCCTGAGTGGACGTGTTACAGTTTTGACTTAAATCTACTGGAAATTCTATGGCAAGACCTGAAAATGGTTGTCTAGCAATGATCAACAACCAATTTGACAGAGCTTGAAGAATTTTACATTTACATTTTTTTACATTTTAGTCATTTAGCAGACGCTCTTATCCAGAGCGACTTACAGTTAGTGAGTGAATACATTATTTGTAATTTTTTGTACTTTCCCCCCGTGGGAATCGAACCCACAACCCTGGCGTTGCAAACACCATGCTCTACCAACTGAGCTACATCCCTGCCGGCCATTCCCTCCCCTACCCTGGACGACGCTGGGCCAATTGTGCGCCGCCCCATGGGTCTCCCGGTCACGGCCAGCTACGACAGAGCCTGGATTCGAACCAGGATCTCTAGTGGCACAGCTAGCACTGCAATGCAGTGCCTTAGACCACTGCGCCACTCGGGAGCAACCTGATTTTGCAAAGAATAATGGACAAATGTTGCACAATCCAGGTGTGGAAAGCTCTTACAGACTTACCCAGAAAGACTCACAACTATAATCGCTGCCAAATGTGCTCCTACAAAGTATTGACTCAGGGATGTGAATACTTACGTAAATTATATATTTCTGTACTTATTTTCCACTAAATTAGCAAAAATGTCTAAAAACATGTTTTCCCTTTGTCATTATGGGGTATTGTGTGTAGATGGGTGAGAAATAAATAATATTTAATCCATTTTGAATTCAGGCTGTAACACAACAAAATGTGGAATAAGTCAAGGGGTATGAATACTTTCTGAAGGCACTGTATGTGCTTCAGGCGGCAGCGTAACCTTTAGACCAGCCTCAGGCACAGAGACGTGTTCTTTAATTGGAATTCTCATTCACTTCCAACATTGACTGAAAAATGGCACAAATAGATACGTCAAACTCAAGAACATAGTAGGAAGTTAAAATGTAATCCAAGCCATATCCTGCTCCAGGAGTATGATAATAACATACTGTATTTGCTGTGTGTTAGTGTGGGTCTCTGTCTGTGTGTTTATTTCCCTCTCTCTCTGGCTCTGTCCGCAGCCCCAGAGTGCCTGAAGCTGGATCCCCTCACAGCCCACCCCATGCTAGATCTCAGCCTGGGAGACACTGTGGTGGAGTGTGGAGCTCTTCTGAAGCGGCTCGCCAACAACCCTGAGCGCTTCAGCTACAGCTACTGTGTGCTGGCCAGCCAGGGCTACTGGGAGGTGTATGTGGGAGACAAGCCCAAGTGGCACCTGGGGCTGATAAAGGGCACTGCCGGCCGCAAGGCCAAGCTCCCCAAGAGCCCAGAAAGCGATGTGTGGCTGATCGGCCTGAAAGAGGGCCATGTGTATGAGGCCTTCGCCAGCCCGCGCGTCACTCTGCCCCTGGTCACTCAACCCACCAAGGATCGGGGTGTTCCTGGACTACGAGGGCGGAGCGCTGACCTTCTACAACGCAGACAGTCCAGATGAGCTGGGGGTCATCTATACATACAACACAGAGCTGCAGGGGAAGGTGTACCCGCTGTTTGACTTGTGCTGGCATGAGCGGGGTGCCAACAAGCACCCCATCTCCCTGCCTCAGCCCCACAAGGACAAATAACGGGAGTCTTTTTTATTTTGAAGCATTTCATAAAGTGTTGAATCAAATACTGTAGCTGACAATGAGTCACAAAGCCAGTCTTCTAAAAGACAAGAACAGTCTAAAGCCTTGTTTATACCTGGTAATAACATGCATCCTTTGTCCTGATCTTATCCACATTCTGATTGTGCCCACATTATAGCCGTTGCATCTACACATGGTAGTAAAATGTGTCTCATCTGTCCACTGTGTCCGCATTGTGACCAGATATCCTGGTCCCTCCCTGTATGCTAAATATTTGACAGGTATTCTTCAAAATAATATTTATTTTAAGACACATTCTAGCCCTGTTTATACCTGACCTGATGCGGCCTTTGTCCTAATCTTGTCCACATTCTGATTGTGCCCACATTTTTGGACAAGTGTACACGATTAAAAGACGCAATGTGATCTGATTATGATCAGATCTTATAAGTGTAAAAAGCCAAGATCAGGAGAATATTAGGACGAAGGACCCATGTTAACAGAAAGTATAAACAGGGCTATTGATGCCATAAGTCAATGGCATTACCTGTCAATAGCCCTGTTTATACATGGTTCTAACATGCATCCGTTGTCCTGATCTTGTCCACATACTGATTATGCCCACATTTGTCGACAAGTGTAGACTATCAAAAGACTCATTGTGAACAGATCGTGATTAGAGCTTCCTGACCACCTTCGGAGGTAGTCGAAGACGCATCTTGTACGGATATCCTTGAAGTGTAAACGAATCCTGACAACGAAAGCGTATAAATTTGGCCAACATCCCAGTTGTCCCGCCCTCTTAAAAAAATCACAGAAAGGGCGGGACAACCGTGACGTTGGCCAAATTTATACACTTTCGTTGTCAAGATTCAATTACACTTCAAGGATATCCGTACAAGATGCGTCTTCGACTACCTCCGGAGGTCAATCAGATCACAATGCGTCTTTTAATCGCCTACACCTGTCTAAAAATGTGGGCACAATCAGAATGTGGACAAGATCAAGAACAAAGGAAACATGTCAGCACCAGGTATAAAAGGAGCTTATAAATAAAATAAAAGCAATCTGATTAATCAAGATACTTGATTTATCCTCAGGCCAAATTCATTCCGCTACCCAAGAATGGTAAAGCGGCCTTTACAGGTTCTAACAACCAACCTATCAGCTTGCTGCCAGCTCTTGGCAAACTGTTGGAAAAAACTGTTTGACCAAATACAATGCTATTTCTCTGTAAACAAATTAACAACAGACTTTCAGCATGCTTATAGAAAAGGGCACTGACACAAATGACTGATGATTGGTTCAAAGAAATTGATAAGATTGTGGGAGCTGTACTGTTAGATTTCAGTGCAGCCTTTGATATTATTGACTAAAACCTGTTGTTGAAAGAACATACGTGTTATGGCTTTTCAACCTCTGCCATATCGTTGATTCAGAGCTATCGTTCTAATAGAACAGAAGGTTTTCCTTAATGGAAGCTTCTCTGATGTAATGCAGGGCAGCTCTCTTTGCCCTCTACTCTTTTCTATTTTTACCAATGACCTGCCACTAGCATTAAACAAAGCCTGTGTGTCCATGTATGCTGATGATTCAACCCTATACGCATCAGCAACCACAGCTAGTGAAATCACTGAAACCCTAAAAAAAAAAGTTGCAGTCAGTTTTAGAATGGGTGGCCAGTAAAAAACTGGTCCTGAACATCTCATTCCCTAAGTTCTCGACCTCAGCTGAATCTGGTAATGAATGGTGTGGCTGTTGAGCAAGTTGAGACTAAATTACTTGGTGTTACCTTGGATTGTAAACAGTCATGGTCAAAACATATTGATTCAATGGTTGTAAAGATGGGGAGAGGTCTATCCGTGAGCTTTATACCACACTCCACTCCAAGTCCTGCAGGCTCTAGTTTTTTGTTACATTTTTGGGGATAATTGTCCAGTCATATGGTGAAGTGCTGCAAAGAAGGACCTAGTTAAACTACAGCTGGCCCAGAACAGAGTGGCACGTCTTGATCTTCATTGTAATCAGAGGGCTGATATCGATACTATGCATGCCAGTCTCTCTTGGCTAAGAGTTGAGGAAAGACTGACTGCATCGCTTCTTTTATAAGAAACATTAATGTCGGAAATTCCTAATTGTTTGCATAGTCAACTTACACAAAGCACTGAAACACACACTTACCCCACCAGACATGACACCAGAGGTCTTTTCACAGTCGCCATGTCCAGAACAAAATCAAGGAAACGCACAGTATTATACAGTCATGATTGCAGGCAACTCCCTTCCATCTCATATAGCGCAACTGAACAGCAAACCTAGTTTCAAAATCCAATTAAAGCAACACCTCACGGCACAACGCCTCTCCCCCATGTGACCTACTTTTTGTGTGTATGTACTGACATGTATGTGTAACTGAGACGCACACACACACACAACTGTTTTTAAATGTATGTGAATTGTAGTCTTTTGTCTGTAATGTATTATTCGTTGTGTCGGACCCCAGTAAGACTACCTGTCGCCATTGGCATCAGCTAATGGTGATCCTAATCAAATAAAAAATCGAAATCTAACAGCACCTCCCCTCCCAAAAAAAACACTTACACCCTTGCCTTTCCTGCACTAACACTTGTCTTATCTTACTAGCACTGACTTTGCTGATAGTAGCTTTATTGAGGAAAAGTTGTATTTACTATGATTGTGATAAATGGTTGTCTCACCTAGCTACCTTAAGATGAATGCACTAACTGTTAGTCACTGGATAAGACCGTCTGCCAAATGACTAAAATGCAAATGTAAATCATTGTTACCATAATGTGGCACTATTGTCTATAGTCTAAAATGCCCTCCATGTACCAGGATGTGGTTCGCTCACTGTAACCTTGCATTCATTACAGATTGAAAGTTGAGTATATGTCCTTCTGTCTACAAAATGATTAGTCTTTAGACCAAATTGATACTTACATTTTGTGTTGAAAATGCAGATACTGTTTGAATGAGTGAAATAGAAACCAGTCGCTGTCTGTCAAATCAGACAAAATACAAGTATATCAAATGATGTATGGTTACTCTGGCATGTCGGTATAATAATGTGCATGACATACTTGAGATCTGTAATAATCTATTGCATATTCAGAAAAAAAGCATAGTTCAAACTTTGAAACACTGGGACTAAATAATTTATCGAAGGCAAGACATGAGTCCATTTTAAATACCTGATGGTTGCTTAGTCTAATTACTGATTGACAAACCTTTCACTATGGAGTATCCAGCAACCATCTGTAACAAAATACAGCTGCTCCACCCTCTCAAAGAGCACTACATTATAGTCGAGGTCATTATAGGAATTTGAGAAGTTCCCTTTAAGTGAGGTGAATTCATGGGATTCCATCTTACCGTACATGCACACACACCCAACTCCTAGCCATCAGACTGGATAAACCAGTTACCACCATTCATAATTTAATCTACTGTGATAAATAATAGGCCTCAGACGAAGACAATGTGGAAATGTTTTATTAGAAAAGATTTCAGAAGAATGCACACAAAATGATTTGGTAGTTTTTATACTAAAGAGTCTTTGAGATGTATCAAAGCAGTTCAGAAAATAGACTGTTTGAAATGCAGTCAAGAGATCTGGTGGAAAATAAAGACAACAGCCACATCTGTAAATTCAAGGCACAGAATTTCAATGGTATTTATCAATTCTTTATTTCGCAGTCACTAAAAATCTAATCGCAACCTAAAAATCAAACAATGGTCAAGTAAATATATATTAAAACGCCTCATTTATCAGTAAGAAAAATATGTAAAGTAAACTTCCTTTCATCATACAATGTCGGTGTCCCAAATCCCCTATATAGTGCACTACTTTTGACCAGAGCCCTATATAGATAGGGTGCGATTTGGGACACAAAGGAGCCATCTTAATTCCAGACTCCTTACTTACGCAATACAAAGCTTCATTTCTTTAATGTAGCTTAGTGCAATGTACACAGCTCTGTCATCTTGACAATACGCATTTTCCATCTAACCGAGCAAGCACACGATTTCACGACGTTGCATTATTTTCAAAAGTAGTGTGTGCTCACCTTCATGAGTAAAGGTGCTGGTTTTTGAAGGCCACTTAAGAGTCAATTTTTTTAGATGGGGAGGGACTGGAGGTTTAGTACTGGAGCATGCAAAAACACTCAACTACCTGTCATTAACCTGAGAGTTATAATACCTATAGCTGATAACGGACAATGGATTGTTCAAGATATTTTCACCATTGTTGAGCCTTTAGACTCATGCCAAACGGTAGCCAAGTTCCTCAACTCCACAATGATTTCATCCATAGTTGAGTGCAGACTAGTTTAAATGAACCTCCTACTATGCAGTCGATACTTCAAAAATGTTAATTCTTAAACCCTTACCATGTACCTATGTGTTGTCTGTTGTTGCATGCCTTTCTTTGTTTGTGTAAATCCCTACTTTTTAATAAAATGTTAAGCAAATACATCCTATGGATGTGTTCTCAGCTCAACCACTAATGTAAATGCTTTCCCTTTTACTGTGGTTCAACTCTTAACAGTTACATAACTCCAATCCATTATTAAATGAGCACTTGAGGCTTATATATACACTGAACAAAAATATAAACGCAACATGTAAAGTGTTGGTCTCATGTTTCATGAGTTTAAATAAAAGATCCCAGAAATGTTCCATACGCACAAAAAGCTTATTTCTCTCAAATTTTGTGCACAAATTAGTTTACATCCCTGTTAGTGTGCATTTCTCCTTTGCCAAGATAATCCATCCACCTGACAGATGTGGCATATCAAGAAGCTGATTAAACAGCATGATCATTACACAGGTGCACCTTGTGCTGGGGACAATAAAAGTCCACTAAAATGTGCAGTTGTCACACAACACAATGCCTCAGATGACTAAAGTTGAGGAAGTGTGCAACTGAGGAGTATTTCTATCTGTAATAAAGCCCTTTTGTGGGGAAAAACTCATTCTGATTGGCTGGGCCTTGCTCCCAAGTGGGTCGGCCTATGCCCTCCCATGGCTGCGTCCCTGCCCAGTCATGTGAAATCTATAGTTTAGGGCCCAATTCATTTATTTCAATTGACTGATTTCCTTATATGAACTGTAACTCGGCAAAATCTTTGAAATTGTTGCATTTATATTTTTGTTCAGTAATATATTATATAAAAATAAGATCCCTTACCATATTTACTAGAAAAATAAATACATATGGTATTGCCTGTTTAAATACAGGCACGCTCTTATTCTAAGACGACATAATATCGTTATCAGCTTGGAAATATGAGTCCAGTCAATGGGTTTGTGTGGTTTATCGAAGGGATAAATGGGGTTCACCGCCCCTGTTCATCCCTCCAGCAGGGGGAACCAGTACTCAGGGTCTCAAGGACCATCAGAGCAGTGGAGATCTGGAGGGAGAAGTGGTTAGTCTAGTCCCCTTAAACTCAACTCTGGACCTCGAAGCCAGTTCCACTGCTTTTTTTTTCCATTGTTCCCCTCTAATAACAGATGGCTTTAGACCTTGGACACCAGGTAGGTGCAATTAAGTATCAGGTAGAACAGAAAACCAGCAGGCTCCGGACCTCGTAGGGTAAGAGTTTAATACCCCCCGTCTAGTCTATGGGTGGTAAGGCCACATGTAGCAAGCCCCTTGTTTATTTACGGGAGGTGAGGGGGGGGATTCCCAAGGCTTGGGTCTCAGGATCTAAAGACGTGAACAGCCCGTACCACATACTGCCTGCAGATGGGGCACTCCTTCATCTGCTTGCCACACTTGGTGCAGGTGACCATGTGGCCGCACTCCAGCAGGACACAGTCAATGGGAGAGTTCATGCAGATCTTACACAGGTTCTCCTCCTGGCCAGGGGTACCACTTGGGTCTGGGAGAAAGAAACAAGGGACAAAACACCATTACACACACATATCTCATTAAATATTAGCTTGTACTCAGTTGACCAAAGACAACTTGTTAACACTCAACCACCTGTCATTAATCTGAGAGCTATAATACTTATAGCTGATCATTGATTGTTCAAGACACTTTCACCATGGTTGAGCTATCACCACTGTCATGCCAAATGGATGAGATCAGTCTTTAAGAGTTCCAACGTTCATCATGGGGAGCTTTGTATTGCAGGAAGCACGGGGGGAGAAGAAACTCACCTGTGCCGTCATTTGTACTTGAAACTGGAGGAAACGGGAAAAAGAAAAGGAAAAAAGCATGTTAAAAACTTCCTTGAATTATGCAATTTATTTTTTTAAATGCAATAATAAAACAAGAAATTCAAATTAAGAAATTCCCAGTTGTTTAACTAGATGTAAACCTTAGTAACAGTAAAACGGTTAATTTGAGAGATTTCATTTGTTGCATCAAGCCTTGAAATCAGACAAACAAATGCACGTGCCATATCATTAGACGCCTTTCCATATATTTTTTTTGAAGTTGTGCAAATGACAAAGATATTGCGGTGCGGGTTGGGATAGCACTTTGCCATGGAGCCTGCAGTGTTGCTGCCTCGGTTGAAGTGGGTATCGGAGGGTCTAATAATTATGTATGTAATCTAATTAGCGCCTACCTCAACGCGCAAATCGAGGGCTAAGGGGAAGGGACTGGTTTGGGATTTATTCACTGTGGCGGCGACTGCATGTACTGAATGTCCCATGTGACATCCCCAAATCTAGCCTCATACGAGACCTCCGTTACTGAATTGTAATAGGGTCTCACCGTATTCACTTGTTTGAGTACATTGTTTAAATTGAAGGAGAATTTTGCATTTTTACAACCAAATCTCTATTTTTTAAGTAAATGGCATGTTATAGAAGGGCCCAGACACTTTAAAATGTTTTTACCCAACCAGCAATTCACTTATTCATCCTTGTTGTGCAGTACAGGGGGCTCTGAATAAACACGAACAAAACCACACAAAAAACACCCAAATACATCCTTTTAGAAACTGAAAAGTTCTCAGTATAGTGATGCAGGTCTTTAGATGTTGTACACATGAAATTGCGTCATTCCGAACTTTATCTGCAACGTTATATTATATTTTGTTGCGACTCGAGTGTTGTTTGTTGCGACTCGAGCGATACCTCTCCGTCTATTCTAGCAGCAGGCTACACATAGAATGGAACAGCTGGATAGGGGAAACAGCTTGAGTCACACAAAACGGACATCTAAAGACCGGCATCACTATACTGAGCGCATTGCCGTTTCTAAAAGGACGTATTTTGGTGTTTTTGGATCATTTGTTCATGTTTTTTCAGAGCCCCCTGTACTGCACAACAAGGATGAGGAAGTTAATCGCTGGTTAGGGTAAGTTTCTCAGAAACAAGTGAAATCGCAAAAAGTGTCTGGATAACATTTATATAAAAAATTTAGATTTGGTTGTAAAAAAGCAAACTTCTCCTTTAATTATCAGGTTTACCTGAGTGGCCAAGATGTTCCCTGACTTGGAAGGTATACCTCTACCATACACACCAATTCACAACCAGCTCAGAGGCCTTAAAATGCCCACCCTGAGATTGGAAGGTTGGGGGTTCAATCCCCACCCAAGTCAGACCCGATGTCTCTGCTTGGTATTTAGGATAAGTATTTGGGTTAAGGCCTTGCGATAGACTAGCCTCCAGTCCAGGGGGTGTACTTGTACATCAAGCTGTCTCACACTAGACACAGGATCCTGCCCCATGGGCCGTTCAGGCTCAGACATACAGTAGGTATTATTCACTAATTGATTGGGCAAGTGTTGGTGGTCATCCAGGTGTAAAATATCTCACAGGATTCAATTGGCTGCAACCTGGCTAAGTGAGTAAGCGAAAACAGTGAGCTTCTGTAATAGAAGTCCAAATAGATGTCTCATGTTACAGTCCTCCTTTACATTTGAGTAATTTAGCACACACTCTTATCCAGAACAACTTACTATCTGGGGTGTATTTATTAGTGCACACCGTAGCAAACTGTTTTGCAACATACATTTTTTTTCAACAAAAACAAGAGTTACTTATTGGACAAATTCAGTTATGTCCCTCCCCGTTTCGTCCTGTTTGATTCCTAGTAAACACACCCCAATTCAACTATGATGCCGGTAGGGAAAACAACCATACATCACAATAATTTTTACCCAGATTCTGGAGCAACTTCTGGTCGTGGTAGAGACGGGTGACCCTCTCCATTAGCTCCCACTTCTCGCAGCAGCCCTTGTAGTTGACAAAGTTACGGGCCAGGATCTCCTTGAGCTGCCGGACGCTGAGGGCCTCGATGTCCTCCGCCGTGGCTAGGTCGGACAGCGACGCCCTACGGCCTGGCACCAGCACCTCCTCTGTGTCTGAGGACTGAGCAACAGCACAGCAAATCAGGGTTGCGTTCAATAGGGCACAATGTTGTGGAACGTTCGGATACATTGTGTTAAGGGCCTGCAAAACAGACATGCATTGATCTATAACTAACAAGTGCATCTAAGAGTAAGGTATCAAGTCAGCTCGATGACATTTTTAACAGCTATGTTCAGTACGTTGCACCCTTCTGAACGCGCCCCAGTACTTGATGATTGGCATAACATAGATAATCTGGTGAAAAAGGTTACAGGTTCATTAGAATGGAATGACACACATTTTCTAAGGTCAGATGTAAATCGTGAACAATCACATCACATTGACAGCCATCATGTTTGAATGTCAGAATGATTGATTAAAGGGATCCATACACTAACTGTGAACAGGGCCCATATTCATAAAGTGCTGATCTAGAGTCAGTTCTGCCTTCTTTTGAGACTTTTTACCCCTTTTACTCCCAATTTCGTGATATCCAATTGGTAATTACAGTCTTGTCCCATCACTGCAACTCCTGTAAGGACTCGGGAGAGGCGAAGGTCAAGCCATGAGTCCTCTGAAACACGACCCTGCCAAGCCGCACTGCTTCTTGACACACTGCTCGCTTGACCCGGAAGCCAATGTGTCGGAGGAAACGCCGTACAACTGGCGACCGTGTCAGCATGCATGTGCCTGGCTCGCCACAGGAGTCGCTAGAGCGCGATGGGACAAGGAAATCCCGGACAGCCAAACCCTCCCCTAACCCGGACGACGCTGGGCCAATTGTGCGTCGCCTCATGGGTCTCCCGGTCGCGGATCGAACGCGGGTCTGTATTGACGCCTCAAGCACAGCGATGCAGTGCCTTAGACCGCTGCGCCACTCTGGAGGCCCCAGTATTGCCCTTACAGAACATCATTAATAAGATTACATTGACGGGTGGAACTGATCCTAGACCTGAGACGCTTTATGAATACGGGCCTAGAACCTACGCCACAAGACAGATCTCAAAGAACCATAATCTCTAGGTCGACAACTTGTGTGTCATCGTGTGACAACACTAACTATCTTGTTTAGCTATCCCAACCCAAACTGTATTAAGAGGAACAGTGTCAGTCACATGGGGTCTTTCACAGCCAGTGCGGGGAATGACAACACGCCACATTACATGCCAAAGCTGCTATCCATCAGTGGGGATAAGAATAGATTACTGCTCGGCTACAAGGGGAACATTCTGACAGACAGGTGAATAATGGGACACACCATGCAGACATGGGCAGCGAGCCATCGAACAACAAAACACTGCTTTACATTGGGACTCTGTCTGAGCACAATGGCACTGGAGGGTCTAAAACAGTCCCTAGCCTGATCTCCTACGGTATGATTAAACTAAATATATTGATTAGGCTCCTACGGCCAAAAAGTAAGCCAGACTCTAAAATAAACGCAAATCTACGTAGATACTGAGTACTCCTTTTTGTTTATTATCCTGGATAAGGAAAACCTTTTTTTCAAATTGATAATTTTATTTTTCAACCAATGATTGAAAAATAGATGCAGTGCATTCGGAAAGTATTCAGACCCCTTGACTTTTTCCACATTGTTACGTCACAGCCTTACTCAAAAATTGATAAAAATTGTTTTTGCCAGTCTTAGGTTCAAACACTCCTGCAAGGCATGGTTAATGTTGAGATAGCCTCCTAGCCAAGTGTAAACCCCTCTGCGCTAGTGGATGCTTATTAGTGTATATTTGCTCTTTTGTATACATTTAAATATTTGGACACTATGATTGAGTGAATCTATGACAGTGCCCATGTCACTTGTTTTGCTCTGCAGCCCTTGCCTACCAAGAGGACCACAATGGAAACAAGTCTTTAGACTGTGTTTATAATCCTCAGCAATTTTGGTATATGTATCTGTTGCCTGGTGTAACATTTTAATGTATTTTAAAATAAAATCAAGTGCTGATCTAAAATCCGCTATTGTTTTGTCATTTAGAGTAATGAATCTGGGGGGCACTTTTTTTTCTCACATATACATATACACACCCACATACATACATATACACATACACACCCACATACATACATATCCTTTAAAAATATATATATATTCCCCTTTATTACTTTCCAACCCCGCCACCCTTTCCCCACTTGGAGTAAACTAGTGAACAACAACGCCTAGGCCTCTACTTCCAGCACATACCCACTATCTACATTTTATGGACACAGTCAATTTTACAATAATTACATTTTGTTTGTTCTTTCTCCTGAACTTCTTCTACTCTCAACCTCTCCGATCATTTTCATGATGTCCATCCGGTTTGCTTCTATATGCCATATCTTTCTAACTGTGCTCCTTCACAAAAGCTCCCAACCTACAACCCATACACTTATTATGGACACAGCGTGCCTACATTATTAGTTATCTTGTTATTGTTTGTTGTTAGTTGTTATTAGTCCCATCCTTCAATTCCATTCAACACCACCCATCTATCTTTTAACACCATCCATATAGGATTTCTATTTGCCATATATATTTCAACTGTACTGTGATGTCTTACAAAAGTTCTGAACCTTTCTATTCTCATTGTTTCTACAGATTGTGAATTGAAAATAAACATTTTTGCTAATAGTATTATGTTATTGATCAATTGACTATGACTTTTCAGATCACCCAGTAGCACTCTTGCTCTGAGAGGCTTTATGAATACAGGCCCAGAGCCAAGGAGAGGAAGCCCATCGCTGCTATAGTGGTACCATGGCTAGGGCCAAGAGTTTTTCTTCACCAAGTGACCCGACCAGGAACAACTCCTGGCCCTAACAATTGCAACGCTTTCAAGATCAGGGTCAGGCTGTAGTACCTGCGGCTCTGTGTCTCCCTCAGTGTCCAGTGGCTCCTCAGGACCCAACACAGACAGGGTCTATGAGCAAAAACCCACCATACACCACATTAGCGAGCTATAGTTAGCCATGCTCTAACTGGAGGGGCCATACAGAAGGTTAGTTATCCATTCACAAGCTATTGCTACATAACACAAAAGGTGAGGTGATGGACAAAATGGTAAATGAATGTATGACAGAAACAGGGGTAAGTCATGTGTGGTATGGTGGGTTCGGGCCTCACCTGACTGTCCTCCTGAGTGGGTGGCGGCTGTGAAGGGACATGGTCTGTGGAGGTGGAGTCGGGGTGTGTGGAGGGTGTGGTGGTGGGGTCTGGAGGAGGAGTTGTCTCATGCTGGGTGGCGGTCTGTGTTTGGGTCAGAGGGTTTACCATTGGGTCAGAGGGTGACTGTGTCTGCTGTCCCAGGACCAGCTCCACCAGTTCCTCTTTCTCACGGCACATCTGCGTTGAGACCTCGTGCAGGTGGAGGTAGTCGCGCAGGTCCTTCACCTTGAGCTTCATCAGCTCGGTGCGCTCAAAATGCGTGCCGTGGAACCGCTGGCAGGTGTGGCAGAGGCGCGGCCGGGGCTCAAGCTGGGCCGAACACCTGCCGCAGTAGTTCTTCTTGCAGTCCACGCAGACATGCTGCAGGGAGATAGGAGACCGACACACAATGATTATCAATCGTGTCTGCTAGCTTATTTTCCCTCCCTGGCCATAACAATTCCCAACTTTCACAAAAAGTTATATATACAGTGGGGAAAAAAAGTATTTAGTCAGCCACCAATTGTGTATGTTCTCCCACTTAAAAAGATGAGAGAGGCCTGTAATTTTCATCATAGGTACAAGTCAACTATGACAGACAAAATGAGGAAAAAAAATCCAGAAAATCACATTGTAGGATTTTTTATGAATTTATTTGCAAATTATGGTGGAAAATAAGTATTTGGTCAATAACAAAAGTTTCTCAATACTTTGTTATATACCCCTTGTTGGCAATGACACAGGTCAAACGTTTTCTGTAAGTCTTCACAAGGTTTTCACACACTGTTGCTGGTATTTTGGCCCATTCCTCCATGCAGATCTCCTCTAGAGTAGTGATGTTTTGGGGCTGTCGCTGGGCAACACGGACTTTCAACTCCCTCCAAAGATTTTCTATGGGGTTGAGATCTGGAGACTAGCTAGGCCACTCCAGGACCTTGAAATGCTTCTTACGAAGCCACTCCTTCGTTGCCCGGGCGGTGTGTTTGGGATCATTGTCATGCTGAAAGACCCAGCCACGTTTCATCTTCAATGCCCTTGCTGATGGAAGGAGATTTTCACTCAAAATCTCACGATACATGGCCCCATTCATTCTTTCCTTTACACGGATCAGTCGTCCTGGCCCCTTTGCAGAAAAACAGCCCCAAAGCATGATGTTTCCACCCCCATGCTTCACAGTAGGTATGGTGTTCTTTGGATGCAACTCAGCATTCTTTGTCCTCCAAACACGATGAGTTGAGTTTTTACCAAAAAGTTATATTTTGGTTTCATCTGACCATATGACATTCTCCCAATGATCTTCTGGATCATCCAAATGCACTCTAGCAAACTTCAGACGGGCCTGGACATGTACTGGCTTAAGCAGGGGGAAATGTCTTGCACTGCAGGATTTGCGTCCCTAGCGGCGTAGTGTGTTACTGATTGTAGGCTTTGTTACTTTGGTCCCAGCTCTCTGCAGGTCATTCACTACGTCCCCCCGTGTGGTTCTGGGATATTTTCTCACCATTCTCGTGATCATTTTGACCCCACGGGGTGAGATCTTGCGTGGAGCCCCAGATCGAGGGAGATTATCAAATCAAATCAAATTTTATTGGTCACATGCGCCGAATACAACAGGTGCAGACATTACAGTGAAATGCTTACTTACAGTGGTCTTGTATGTCTTCCATTTCCTAATAATTGCTCCCACAGTTGATTTCTTCAAACCAAGCTGCTTACCTATTGCAGATTCAGTCTTCCCAGCCTGGTGCAGGTCTACAATTTTGTTTCTGGTGCCCTTTGACAGCTCTTTGGTCTTGGCCATAGTGGAGTTTGGAGTGTGACTGTTTGAGGTTGTGGACAGGTGTCTTTTATACTGATAACAAGCTCAAACAGGTGCAATTAATACCGGTAACGAGTGGAGGACAGAGGAGCCTCTTAAAGAAGAAGTTACAGGTCTGTGAGAGCCAGAAATCTTGCTTGTTTGTAGGTGACCAAATACTTATTTTCCACCATAATTTGCAAATAAATTCATTAAAAATCCTACAATGTGATTTTCTGGATTTTTTTTTCTCAATTTGTCTGTCATAGTTGACGTGTACCTATGATGAAAATTACAGGCCTCTCATCTTTTTAAGTGGGAAAACTTGCACAATTGGTGGCTGACTAAATACTTTTTTTCCCCACTGTAGGGACCAAAATAGTTCCTTTTAAAACTTGTCCCAGATTATGCTCCAACTCTAGCTTTAACCCGACACTGACAGCGTAACGCCTAGATATAGAAAACCAAGAAGCAGAAATGCTCTTGTTCAAATCTTGCCCTGAGGCTGGTTCAGGTACAGAAAAGTACATCACCATTGCATTAGGTTCACCCTTTTCATGCCTCTAGTAGATAATGGAGGAATTGAAGGGTGTAGGAAAAGCTAAGCGCTGGATACTCAGTCAGCCTTGAGGTCTGGCGTATTGCTGGTTCTCTTTTCTCTGCAAGCTATCCATTCCTGTAGACTTCCAGTCATTGCGCTAACGCTAGTTAGCATTGGCTCACGAAACAACCTCTTAACTTCATTCATACTGGACAGAGACATAAAAATGGTATCCATGAGTTCACCTGACTCTGGGTAGGTAGAAATTGCCAGAATCTTGCAATATCCCTTTAATCAATGTTGATACATTTCTAATTGGCCAGGTCTGAATCAACCACTGATTAGAGAGGAAGGATAAAAAACCTGCAGTGCTACATATCTCAATGCCTGGATTTGGGAAAAGGTGGGCTAAGAGGGTTTTAGGTACCTTTCTGGCTAGGGTGACGAAGCGGCTTCCGCAGGCTTTGCACGTGTGGTCCGGGAGTGGGGGCGACGGGTAGCTGCTGTAGCCTGAGTTAGTATAGGCCTGGTGACGCGTGCTGCTGTTGCTCTCCTCCACCGTGGCAGTGTCCAGACATAACCAGTTACAGCAGGACGCCCACATGCTCCACACCTGGAAACACGACGACTCTTAGACGGGCACCCCACCTGGGGACACACGTGTTAAGATGGATAGAGTGGGTTAGTGAAGACAGACCACAAACTAAAGAGTTTGGGGGAGAAAAATAAAGAGTGTAGTAGGTGTTGAATGGGTAAGATCAGGAACAGAGTGAGTAGTGAGTGACTAAAGAGGCAGGGTATGAGTGGGACAAACTTGAGAGCAATTTGAAGGGCATGAGCAAGGGCTGTGGTGATGCAGTGGAGAAATAGCTGTAGGAGAGGTTGAAGAGGTAGGCTAGGCTATAAGAAAAACAACTGAAGTGCTGATGTTACAGTGCAGTGGTGGTATTATGTTCGGACGTCCAACGTCGTATAGGGCTCAATCAATGACACTGGAATTGCAATTGAAATGAGAGATCAGCAGTGAACGGCGGTGGCCTCAAACTTTTGTCAGTAAGGAGAGCAGGTAGCTGGCTTTTAGCTACTAGAAGTAGGGCTCCCATCATTAATTCAGAGCTTGTTTGCAGTCAGAGCTGCAGGAGCACAGGCTGGCGACAAGGTTCTTGATGGAGTGATATCCTATCTCCCAAACGTGAACAGAGGAAGCCGAACTGCAGTCTCCACTCCAGGACCCAAAGCATTCAAGAGTCAAATAAAATAAAATTGTTTACGAAGTGTGATGAATACAACATGTGTAGACTAACAGTGAAATGCTTACTTACGGGCCCCTACTAACAACGCAGAGATATCTTTTTTGAAATAATAGAAATGTAAAACACGTAATAATAAAATACACAACGAGTAACGATAACTTGGCTAACGGGGTACCAGTACCGAGTCAATGTGCAGGGGTACGAGGTAATTGAGGTAGATATGTACATAACTAGGAATTAAGTGACAGTTAATAAACAGTAGCAGCAGCATATGTGATGAGTCAAAAGTGCAAAAAGGGTCAATGCAGATAATCCGGGTAGCTATTTGGTTAACTATTTAACTAACTGATTAGCAGTCTTATTGCTTGGGGGTAGAAGCTGTTCAGGGGGGGGGACACGTCGTAGTAAACAATCTGTCACGCAGCCTCTCATGCACAAACCATGCGATTAGAGTCTTATCATTAAACGACAATGTGAAATCATCTTACCAATGCAAATAAATAAATCATAAAGCATTACAAATGCCATGATGATCTGGACGAGACTGCCGAATCAAGGCAAAGTTAAGAATCTCTGAATTAAGTTAGTTAAATGTAGTAATGAATAAATGGACTACATTTCTTTAAAATTGACAATTCTGTGAACCGTCTTGGGTACGTTTTAAATTGACACAATAACTGTTAGCCAAGGTGTCAGCTAGAGATGACATGCAGGAGCTTGCAGGGATTTGAAGTCTTGCATGATGTCTACGTTGATGCTAATTAGCATTTTCGAATCAGGGTAAATAGAGGAGCCGAATATATTGATAAAAGTAACCTTGTCCGAGAGAGATTTACATGGTAATCAAAACGTCACGCCAGGGTAAGCCTACACAAAACACAGCCCTTATTTTAAGTGTTTCTAAACTCTCCTATGGGAAAAATGATTGGAACCATTTCCCTGTTTGACCGCTAGGTTTATGGGTATTATGACACCTCCACTGTGGGGATCTATAGGAAAAGGTAGGTAATTTGGCTTGTTACCCGGCTGTGCGCTGCCCTGTTGTGCACTGCCTGACTCCGGCGGTGCCCGTCATGTTCAAATAGGCTTAACTATCGTCTGTAAATAAATAATATATATATATATATATATATATTAGGCCATATACCACAAAACCCAGAGGTGCCTTATTACTATTATCAACTGGTTAGCAACGTAATTAGAAGAGTTAAAAGTAATTTGTTGTCATACCCGTGTCTTTCAGCCAATCAACATTTAGGGCGCGAACCACCGGTTTATAATATTAATTATAGTCCAAAAGGTCAAACAAATCCTAGATCAGCACTCCTACACTAAGACACTTTATAAATACATACAGGCCCAGGTCTTACAGCATGTAAGGGGAGGTCTACTAACTAGGCTTAGGCTACACCCTCAATCTCTCATGAATTGACGATAAGATTGATCAGTTTTCAATCCAGTCAGTTCAGTAAGCAGCCACAATTGAAATTCAGGAGTTGCACAACCTCATAGAAATAGTAAACGTGTCTTCGACCACTGCAGGGCCAATTCTCAGTCACGTGTTTATGCTCTGGGTCCCCTGTGGTAGGTAACCTGTGCAACTCAATAATAGCTAGGCCACACACAAACACACTGCCATAGAGACCAAAACAAGACAGACCTAACAGCACCTACCAAACTGCGAGGCAGATCCACATCAACTGCTAAGGAAATGCCTGCCACCAGATTGCATCAAGTGGAGCACAGCTGAGGGAAAAGTGACTGGGTGCCTCAGGCATCCAGAGGCCAACTGCAAAGGTTTCACACCTGAATGTAGTGAAGAGTTAAGGAAGTCTAGTTGTACAAACAATAAATCACTTGTAAAACTAACTTTAGTCTGACCATGTCCATGCAATGTTTAGTTTTTTTATTGATAATAACACAAATAGTGAAAGGCAGCTGTCCCCCCCCCCTCATTCTAAAGTAGTAGCCTACAGGCTAACATGCTGAATACAGCGTTGTGTGCGCTGCAAAATAAATGTACACATACATGTTATTCAATCATTTCATCCAAACTGCTCGCGTCTGCAGGCGCTAAAATATAACTTGGTTCTATTTTTAATGCTTGACGCGATGCAAGTCCCACCTCTCCCATCTCCTGATTGGTTTTTAGGAGGATATATCCACGTGGGTGATTGAAAGATGAACTGAGGTCCACACTCCAGTCGGTGGTGGTAACGCACCTTAAAGTTGGTTGCCAACCGCCATATAAAGTCCACAAAAGAAGATGACAAAGGGGGAGAGATTACTAGAACCTAACTAGGTTTCCCCTTTTATCTGTGGATTAATTGTCAGAGCAGAGAACACGATTTTGTGTTACTCAAAACGGGTCCAAATTCTACAAAGATCCAGAATAAAAGGACCTTGTGCATTTCAGGTAAAATAACAACCCAATGTTTATATCCCAGGATAAATTAGCTAGCAACAGCAAGCTAGCTAAATGGCCTTTAAAGTTTCATGTGTTTCGACCTGTCCCCAAATTAATATAGTTGGTTCAGAGTTCGTTTTGATATTTCAACCTGTGTGTCCTGATCGTGTCTGTTAATGGACAAACATGCTGACCACATCACCCGCGTCGCGTGTACACATACATGTTATTCAATCATTGCACCCACACTGCTCACGCGAGTCTGTGTAGCCAGGCACTAAAATAGCACTTGGTTCTATTTGTGACGCTTGACATGCTGCAAGTCCTGCCTCTCCCATCTCCTCATTGTTTTTAGGAGCATATACCCACATGGGTGATTGAAAGATGAATTTACATGCTGACCAGACCTCTCCGTGCTTGCCATTGCGCACATGTGGATTTTGTCCACCCACACCAGACACGATCAGGACACGGAGGTTGAAATATCAAAATGAACTCTGAACCAACTATATTAATTTGGGTACAGGTCGAAAAGCATTAAACATGTATGGCAATTTAACTAGCTTCCTGTTGCGAGCTAATTTGTCCTGGGATATAAACATTGGGTTGTTATTTTACCTGAAATGGACAAGGTCCTCTACTCCAACAATTAATCCACAGGGTAAACAGAGTTCGTTTCTAGTAATCTCTCCTTCAGGCTTCTTCGGACTTTATATGGCGGTTGGCAACCAACTTTAAGGTGCATTACCACCACCAAAACAGCTAAATACTCCATCTAAACGTGAATCGTTTCTCAGTTGCGATACGGTTCTAAAAACATAAAGCCCATTACTTTCATATCACATCAAAATAATTTCACAAATGCAAAATAGACACTCACTGTACTTTGTTTTAATCGGCTTTATCACAGTTGCTGCCGACAGTATTTTTCAGTGACTACACATTTCTGGCATTCTAGATACCTAACTAGCACAGGTAACGTTAGTCCCTCTTTCTTCCAAACACGCGCTGTAACACGGATATTTGGCCGTGTGGGAATACTAACCATATAAAAAGGTGTGTATCAATTTAACGTTTTTTGAAACATTTTCTCGCAGAAAGATAAGGTAGTTATGCTTCCAAAACCGTACCGCAAGCGATGCGCGTTAATGTTCAGACCGAGCGTCGGGGCTCTTAACAAAACTTCATAGTAGAAGACGCCTTCGTCTAATGACAATTACTTGTGTAATGTAATGGAACTGAGAGGCCAGGGTAGACTTCTCAAAATCCGCACAGCAAGTTTGTCTCAATAGTCAGTTTACGTGTCCCGTTTTTTATATACCTAGTTAGGTTTAGTGGACACTTTAATTAAAAAATGTTTAACTTACATTACTGTGTCAGAAATAACTACAGGGTCGCAAAGTCCAAAACAACAAAGGCATACAGTAATAAGCTCCACAACCAATATAGCCACCCATTTGTAGTTAACGTTAGCCACGACACAGTTAAAGTTAGACTCGAAATCAATGTACCTATTTTCATAATACGTTTTGCATTCATCTGCTGTTGTCAGTCATTTGGTTCACTACCTTGCGTTAGCAATACATTTGAGTTGTTCAGATACTAGCGAACGCATAACATTTGCCCATAATAGCTGGCTAGCAAACTAACGTTAGTAACTAACCAGCTGCTGCTAACTTTAAAAGTCTTTATCGAGTTGAAATTATCGACATAGCTACCTCGACACGAAGCCCGTGGTCGTGAGACGCGTGCTAGAAGCAGCTGGCATGAAGCTCGCTTGCTGTTGGATGACTTTTGTGGGGCTAATGTTCTCCGACATTCACAAAATGACAAGGAATAAATCGAAGTTAGTTTTTGAAGTGAAACAGGAAGAAAGTGCTTCTAGCCAGTGACACTCCCCCGGCCAGTTTCAATCGGCCCCAGAGAGTTGCTGATGCGGGTGCACGTACATTTAGAATCATTGCTAGTTGAAGAGGTTGAATGCAGACACACGCACGAAAGTTTTCTTCTTCTTCAATGAGGTTTAACGGCGGTTGGCATCCAATTTGTTGCATTACCGCCACCTATTAGACTGGAGTACAACTCCCTTATCTTTTCTTGAAAAATAAAATAAAACAAATAAATATCCTACCATCTAACACTACACTCACAACTTCAGACCTACTACTAATAATTAACCCCACCCTTCTCCACTATTTAAATATACTCACTCCTACCTCATGCCCTCAACCTGAAATGATGGGACATCACCACTTAACACTCACTGTAACTCTTCTGCTGTCAGGTCTCGCACACCCAAATATCTCTCTGCAGCTGCCACCACAACCTCAATTTTCTTCGATTTGCGTTCCATCCCTGCAGTACAATTAATAACCATTGCTATAAACGCTAAAAACCCAATCTTACTGAAACATATATCACTTGCTTGCCTATCTCACTGTACTGGTATATATCTCCTACTCTCACCACTCCCCCCCCCCCCCCCCCTTGACCCCTCTTCCTCTACTTTCTTCACTGCCTCCGCATATGACAACTTCTTCTCTACTCTGACCCTGGAAACCTTAACCTGCTTCTCTCGCACTGGACATGTCTGATCCCCAGCCCCATGGCCACCCCTACAATTAGCACACACCACCACTTTCCCCACTGCTTCACACTCCTTAGTCTCATGCCCTTCTGCACACTTCTCACACCTTGGAATCTCCCTCCTACATACTGCTGCCACATGCCCATAAGTTTGACACCTGTAACATCGTAACGTACTCGGCACATACGCTCACACAGGATAACTTATACACTGCTCAAAAAAATAAAGGGAACACTAAAATAACACATCCTTGATCTGAATGAATGAAATAATCTTATTAAATACTTTTTTCTTTACATAGTTGAATGTGCTGACAACAAAACACACAAACATTATCAATGGAAATCAAATGTATCAACCCATGGAGGTCTGGATTTGGAGTCACCCTCAAAATTAAAGTGGAAAACCACACTACAGGCTGATCCAACTTTGATGTAATGTCCTTAAAACAAGTCAAAATGAGGCTCAGTAGTGTGTGTGGCCTCCACGTGCCTGTATGACCTCCCTACAATGCCTGGGCATGCTCCTGATGAGGTGGCGGATGGTGTCCTGAGGGATCTCCTCCCAGACCTGGACTAAAGCATCCGCCAACTCCTGGACAGTCTGCGGTGCAACGTGGCGTTGGTGGATGGAGCGAGACATGATGTCCCAGATGTGCTCAATTGGATTCAGGTCTGGGGAACGGGCGGGCCAGTCCATAGCATCAATGCCTTCCTCTTGCAGGAACTGCTGACACACTCCAGCCACATGAGGTCTAGCATTGTCTTGCATTAGGAGGAACCCAGGGCCAACCGCACCAGCATATGGTCTCACAAGGGGTCTGAGGATCTCATCTCGGTACCTAATGGCAGTCAGGCTACCTCTGGCGAGCACATGGAGGGCTGTGCGGCCCCCCAAAGAAATGCCACCCCACACCATGACTGACCCACCGCCAAACCGGTCATGCTGGAGAATGCAGCAGGCAGCAGAACGTTCTCCACGGCGTCTCCAGACTCTGTCATATCTGTCACATGTGCTCAGTGTGAACCTGCTTCATCTGTGAAGAGCACAGGGCGCCAGTGGCGAATTTGCCAATCTTGGTGTTCTCTGGCAAATGCCAAACGTCCTGCACGGTGTTGGGCTGTAAGCACAACCCCCACCTGTGGACGTCAGGCCCTCATTACCACCCTCATGGAGTCTGTTTCTGACCATTTGAGCAGACACATGCACATTTGTGTCCTGCTGGAGGTCATTTTGCAGGGCTCTGGCAGTGCTCCTCCTGCTCCTCCTTGCACAAAGGCGGAGGTAGCAGACTTGCTGCTGGGTTGTTGCCCTCCTACGGCCTCCTCCACGTCTCCTGATGTACTGGCCTGTCTCCTGGTAGCGCCTCCATGCTCTGGACACTACGCTGACAGACACAGCAAACCTTCTTGCCACAGCTCGCATTGATGTGCCATCCTGGATGAGCTGCACTACCTGAGCCACATGTGTGGGTTGTAGACTCCGTCTCATGCTACCACTAGAGTGAAAGCACCGCCAGCATTCAAAAGTGACCAAAACATCAGCCAGGAAGCATAGGAACTGAGAAGTGGTCTGTGGTCACCACCTGCAAAACCAGTCCTTTATTGGGAGGTGTCTTGCTAATTGCCTATAATTTCCACCTGTTGTCTATTCCATTTGCACAACAGCATGTGACATTTATTGTCAATCAGTGTTGCTTCCTAAGTGGACAGTTTGATTTCACAGAAGTGTGATTGACTTGGAGTTACAGTGAGGGAAAAAAGTATTTGATCCCCTGCTGATTTTGTATGTTTGCCCACTGACAAAGAAATGATCTGTCTATCATTTTAATGGTAGGTTTATTTGAACAGTGAGAGACAGAATAACAACAACAAAATCCAGAAAAACGCATGTCAAAAATGTTATAAATTGAGTTGCATTTTAATGAGGGAAATAAGTATTTGACCCCCTCTCAATCAGAAAGATTTCTGGCTCCCAGGTGTCATTTATACAGGTAACGAGCTGAGATTAGGAGCACACTCTTAAAGCGAGTGCTCCTAATCTCAGCTTGTTACCTGTATAAAAGACACCTGTCCACAGAAGCAATCAATCAATCAGATTCCAAACTCTCCACCATGGCCAAGACCAAAGAGCTCTCCAAGGATGTCAGGGACAAGATTGTAGACCTACACAAGGCTGGAATGGGCTACAAGACCATCGCCAAGCAGCTTGGTGAGAAGGTGACAACAGTTGGCGCGATTATTCGCAAATGGAAGAAACACAAAATAACTGTCAATCTCCCTTGGCCTGGAGCTCCATGCAAGATCTCACCTCGTGGATTTGCAATGATCATGAGAACGGTGAGGAATCAGCCCAGAACTACACGGGAGCATCTTGTCAATGATCTCAAGGCAGCTGGGACCATAGTCACCAAGAAAACAATTGGTAACACACTACGCCGTGAAGGACTGAAATCCTGCAGCGCCCGCAAGGTCCCCCTGCTCAAGAAAGCACATATACAGGCCCGTCTGAAGTTTGCCAATGAACATCTGAATGATTCAGAGGAGAACTGGGTGAATGTGTTGTGGTCAGATGAGACCAAAATCGAGCTCTTTGGCATCAACTCAACTCGCCGTGTTTAGAGGAGGAGGAATGCTGCCTATGACCCCAAGAATACCATCCCCACTGTCAAACATGGAGGTGGAAACATTATGCTTTGGGGGGGGGGGGGGGTTCTGCTAAGGGGACAGGACAACTTCACCACATCAAAGGGACGATGGACGGGGACATGTACCGTCAAATCTTGGGTGAGAACCTCCTTCCCTCAGCCAGGGCATTGAAAATGGGTTGTGGATGGGTATTCCAGCATGACAATGACCCAAAACACACGGCCAAGGCAACAAAGGAGTGGCTCAAGAAGAAGCACATTAAGGTCCTGGAGTGGCTTAGCCAGTCTCCAGACCTTAATCCCATAGAAAATCTGTGGAGGGAGCTGAAGGTTCGAGTTGCCAAACGTCAGCCTCGAAACCTTAATGACTTGGAGAAGATCTGCAAAGAGTGGGATAAAATCCCTCCTGAGATGTGTGCAAACCTGGTGGCCAACTACAAGAAACGTCTGACCTCTGTGATTGCCAACAAGGGTTTTGCCACCAAGTACTAAGTCATGTTTTGCAGAGGGGTCAAATACTTATTTCCCTCATTAAAATGCAAATCAATTTATAACATTGTGTAGGTCTACAATCTTGTCCCTGACATCCTTGGAGAGCTCTTTGGTCTTGGCCATGGTGGAGAGTTTGGAATCTGATTGATTGATTGCTTCTGTGGACAGGTGTCTTTTATACAGGTAACAAACTGAGATTAGGAGCACTCCCTTTAAGAGTGTGCTCCTAATCTCAGCTCGTTACCTGTATAAAAGGCACCTGGGAGCCAGAAATCTTTCTGATTGAGAGGGGGTCAAATACTTATTTCCCTCATTAAAATGCAAATCAATTTATAACATTTTTGACATGCGTTTTTCTGGATTATTTTGTTGTTATTCTGTCTCTCACTGTTCATATAAACCTACCATTAAAATGATAAACTGATCATGTCTTTGTCAGTGGGTAAACTTACAAAATCAGCAGGGGATCAAATACTTTTTTCCCTCACTGTACATTGTGTTGTTTAAGTGTTCCCTTTATTTTTTTGAGCAGTGTATATCCTAACTTCACTTTATCCGGCAAAGACTCAACTTCAAAACTCAAAAGAACAGACAATGACTCTTCTGTTTCCCCACTCTTGCCACCCTGTTTACGTCGCACCAAACGACGAGCATCACACACACCGGGAATCTTCTCCTTCAGTTGATCCATTTTTACATTTACTGCTACCCCAGTAATCACTCCTCTCAATGGCGCCCTTTCCTTAAGAGCGAAACGATTCACAATTCTTTACCACATTTGTTTAACTCTAAGTGCCTTCTCCCTCTGCCCAACAGAAACAAACAATTATCACTAGACCACTTCTGGTTACCCTCACCGATTCCACTATACCCAACGCTTTTTTCACCCATCTTGAAACCACAAATGGATCAGCCAAAAGGCAAGGATCCACTTTTTCCACAAACTTCACTCCTACTGTCACAGACTCATCTTTATCCTGACCCTCTGTGCAGGCCTCTGGCTCCGAGCACTTCACCACACCTACCACCTCCGATACTTCACCCTCTTCCATTTCTACTCCTGTCTTCAGCTCACTGCTTACATTTCCTACCACTCTTCTTTAACAAACCTTCTCCCTTTTTCCCGCCATTATTTACCGACTCAAACTCAGTCTTCCTCCCTCTCTCTCTTAGACCTCCTCTGCCTTTTCCCCTCCATTCCTCCTCATTCATCCAAGTATACATCTC